ATTTATTTATTTATTTATTTATTTATTTATTTATTTATTTTAATTTGACCAGAGAGAGACAGTGAGAGAGAGCGAGAGAGAGAGAGAAAGCAAGCCGCCAGGTCCAGGACTTGAACTGCAGTCAGCCATGTGGGAGTCCTGCACCCTTAAGCACCATGCCACCTGCCGGTCCCATAGTACTTTAATCTAATCTCACCTTGTCTGTTTTAAATATTTCCATCCTTGCTTTCTGTTTGTTGCTTTTGCCTTATTTTCAAACTTCTTCTCTAAATTTTCATGTAGTACATTTCTCATAAATAATTATAACTAAGTTTTGTGTTTTAATATAGTGTTGTAATATTGATGTTTTAATGGGAGAATTTAACCCATTCACATCTACTATAACAACAGTTATATTTGAAAATTTTATTTCTATTCAACTTTACTCTTTATTTCATTTTGTTCCACCCTTTTCTTTTTCTGTTTGTTGTCCTGGTGTTTTCTTTTAATTTATTATTTTATTTGGAATTTGTACTGTGCCTTTTTTGTTCATTAGTGGTTAACTTTCCATTCCTGACATTTCTAATAAATAATATATGTGTGTGTTTGTGTGTGTGTGTGTCTTTCTCAAATAGATATACCTTTATTCTTTTCTTTTTCTAGGTTTTACCATAGGCCTAGGGTACATGTGCTTGCTGGAGAAAGACAGAGAGAGACAGAGAAAGGAAAAGTGAGAAATCGCCCCTCAGGGAGGATGGTCACACTGCAATCCCTTCTCCGGTCTCCTCTTGGAATTTTGGACATGTAAACACATGTGCCCACATGATTTTCAAGTTGCCAAGTCCAGGGCTCAAACCTCAGTCAACCATGTAGGAGTCCATTTCCTTAATTTCAGCTTTTGTTTTTATTTTTATTTTAAAATATTTTTACCATAGGGCTTATGTTGGGTGTCAACAAGTAGAGGGCCTAGATGACTATTGCTAGAGGGGGGGGGGGGGTACCAACTGGATCCCCTTTGTTCTGTTGTTAAAAGCTTTTTTAAAAAATTGCCACAGGGCACATGTGCTAGCCAGTGAGAGAGAGAGAGAGAGAGAAAGTATCCTCCAATGGGGTGTTGTCACACCACAATCCTGTTTCCTCCAATTTTCTATCCTGTCAGGATTTGGCGCACTCATTTACATGTACTCAGCATGTTTTTTAAGCCACTAGGGCTGGGATTTGAATTGTAGTTAGCCATGTGGGATCTGACTCCCTGTGCATAGCACTTAACCTCTACACCATAGGCCGGCCCTATAACTTTATTGTCATATTATGATTCTCTCTCTCTTCTAGTGAGATAACTATTTTCACACTTTCTATGCCATATTTGTGGAGTATTTTGCTTTTCCCCCCTTATCTCCCCTGCAAATATTATTACTCATGCCATATTTTTAGTTCTTGACTATTATTTGGCTTCTCTTCATTAGTATATCTCTATTTCTAGAGTCTTTCCTTAGTACTTAAATTAAATTCCATATTATCATAATGATTTATATTTAATTATATATTGCAAAGTTGTTTGTTCACACCTGTGTTCATTCCTCTTGGTCTTTCCCTGGCTTTCACTGTTACTCTTGTTATTTGGTTAGAATATATATATATATTTAATATTTTCCTCTATGGGGCCTGTGAGTACTATCTTCTCTGAATGCAGGGACTTAGTATTATTTACTTTTGTGTCACAAGCACCTAAATTTGTGCCTAGTACACAACATACAATGAATACATGTTCATTTTTTTGTGTGGTAATTATTGGGTCATCAGAAAAGTCATGATGTATTTTCCCATGTTTTTCTATGCAATAATGAGTCGTGACTTTTCTGACGGCCCAATGGAACACTACATATTGACCTGTGTATTTCTTCTTCTCTGAAGAACATTTATTTGGTTGGTCGTATGTAATCCCATACACATCTATCTGCAAATGTATTTTCTGTTACTCTGAGTTACTGAAATCTTGGTCAACATAGAACTTTTGGTTCATACTTCTTTTCTCTCTTTAATTTGTAGATTTTATTCTGTTATTTCTGAACTCCCACCGCTATAGATGAGAAAAGTCTGATGTCAGGCTGATTGTTTTCCCTTTGTAACTTGTTCTTTGTGTTTGGTGTTATTAAAGACTTACCAAGAAATAGGGATTTTTTTTTTCCCCAACCAATTGTACATTGAAGTCATGAGCTCTTTCAAACTTCAGACTAAGTCTCTTTTTAACCACAGAAAATTTCCTTTCCTATTTTTGTAATTATTGCCTGCTCTCCATCTGTTCGTTTTTCTTGATTCTGGAGTGCTTATTATTGGCACATTAGGTCTCCTGGCTCTGAACTCCATTCTCTTACTCACTTTTCATGATTTCCGTCATTTTGCTTTTTGCTTTGTGTGAGAAAATTTTCATCTCTTTGCTCATTCAGGTCAATAATGTATTTCCAATCATTCTTTCTTTTAGTTAGCTCTAACCCACTGATATTTTAAATTTGAATAGCATATTTTTAATGGCAAAAATTGTTAACATTTCTTTATTTTTTTTCTCATCTTATTATTATTTAAAAAGTAAAGTTGTCCGCTGTCTCTTCCAGCAGTCCTGTTTCATTAGAGGCCATCTGCTCTAGCAGATCTGATTGGTCTGCTTCAGTCTGGTTGCTGGATCCTCTTAAGTACTAGCTTCTTTCCGCTTCCTATTTTCTGCTTAAGCTACATTAAGCCTGTCCAGAGTTGGAGGCACAGCATTTCTCCTCCTGCGTCAACAGGAAACTCTCATGTTCTCACTGCAGCACTCTCTGCTTCTGCTCCTCTGGCCCCCTTCAGGTGTAGACATCCCAACACAATCTGTAGCCTCCCCTACCTCCCCAAACAGGCTTCTCTAGCTTATTCATTCTAGCCACCCGAAGGGTAAGGTAAAAAG